TTCATTTTGTGTTGTGTGCTTTACATACTAGCGCCGCAGCGCGTGTTTGTATAGCGTTTGTTAATTGTTTGCTGGTGACTTTGTGTATTTCATATCGGAATCGACTCCAGTGTTGTTGCTGCCGGCGTCAATAAAAGTTGTTTAAAAGTCAAAAGTCTCTGGCCCTCCGCTGTCCACCCAGCAGTGTGAATGGGTTCAACACAGCGAGTCGATTGGCATGTCGTGGGGGTCCCGGGTTTAGCCAGCATGCACGAGTGAATATCTCCACACGATGACGAGCCACGTCGTTGAGATGTCATTTGTGGCCAGGTCGCTTCTGAAAAGCGCTACGTAAGGGCGGTCCATAAATGACGTCACGCGATTTTGTACGATTTTTGACCCCCCCCCCTCCCCTTTGTCACACGGCGTCACAAAAAGTCAGACCCCCCCTCAAATATGATGTCACAAAGATCTGCCCCCCAAACAAATAAAACATGCTTCAAATCGCTTTAAACTATTGTCATTGTAGTGCGTATTTAATGTGGCGCTGCACTCTGATGTTGTAGGAGAAAACATTTATTAAAAAGTATATTTAATTAAGTAGAACGTGTTGTCTATATTTATTAAAAGTTGCGCATTTTGATGTGACGTCACATTTCTCACCCCCCCCCCCCCCTCGTCACACATCGTCACAAATGTCTGACCACCCCCCCCCCCCCCCAGGTGCGTGACGTCATTTATGGACGGCCCCATAGCTCGGTGGGCCTTATGTGATTAAATAATGAAAACAAAATGGTTGAATAGTTTAATTGAATGCTGAAGGGACAGAACCCGAATTCAACATTGCGGTGGTTTCTTGTGAGCGGCCACAAATGAAAGCTGAGGTCATCACTTTGAGGATGCGGTGTCGTGACGGGAAGCTGCTTCGGGTTTAAACCAGGGGTGGGGAACCTTTCTTTCTGCCAAGGGCCATACAAAATTATCAACTTATAAATTAGCCTGTTATATTTGGTCAAACATTTAATTAACTCGCCCCCCTACTGTGATGGCTGGAACTGCGTCTCTCTGGCGAGGCGTGTGATGTTAGCTGGTATTGATGATGTTGCTACTCGCAACTGCTTCTCCAGGTTTGCTCCTAGATTTATTGAATTTCGAGTCCCGCCTGCGGTTGCCTTGGCAGGGCCACACCAAATGATTTCGCGGGCCTCGTACGGCCCACGGGCCTGACGTTCCCCACCCCTGGTTTAAACCCAGGGTCCTCCTCGCGGCACCGGATCGAATCTCTGACGCCACCTGACCGCCGCGAATAAAGTAATCACTGAATGAAATGTATTTCAAGAAAGCAGCACGCACGCTCCTGTTTTTAAACGGCATTCAGTTTTTTTGTTATCACATTTTAAATATCCATGACCTCACCGAGCTGAGAGCACCAGCGGGGGGGTGGGGTGGGGGGGGGTGCGCGGTCCGCTGCCCGATTCAGCCCCGCGTGGCGTGGCCTCGCCGACTAACACTGTTTGCAAATAATCAGAAAGGGGTTTCCGCTCTCTCATTAATCATTCGAGTCACACGACGCAGACAGCTGGCACGGCCATCGATGGGCGTGGGTGGTGCCGCTGGCGGCGGGGAGCGGTAGTGTAGCAGGTAGCGCACCGCGCTACGAGCCCCCGGCCACCCGAGTTCGATTCCCGCTCGCGGCTGACGCCGGTGACGGTTATCCGAACCAGCCCTTGGGCCTCGCCTATATCGACTCAGCCTCAAATGAGTACCTGGTGCAGTGGGTAAACATTACCACTGGGGAGACAAAGGCGTTCGGGCGTGGTATTGGTCACCCCCCCCCCCTTTCGTGTGTGCCGTGCCGGCCTTCATCGGTGCTCGTGAGCAGCATTTGCCCCAACAGTCTGTTACAGGCTATACGGGGGATCTTTTTATTTATCTTTGGTGCGGCGGTGGTGGTGGTGGTGGCGTGAGTCTTGACAGCAACACGCAGCGCCCTGATTGATGACCGCACCTGCACGGGTCGCGCCAGGTAAATGGCGCAGAGCGCGGCGCTATGCGGGGGAGGGAGGGAGGGGAGGGGGGGAGTGAGGGAGGGGAGGGGGTGGAGGTGATGGAGGGGAGGGAGGGGATGGGAGAGAGGGGATGGGAGAGAGGGGCCCTTCCCAGCACGGTTCGTTCGCTCGCAGCGTGCGGCACATTCTCATCACGCTCCGGCTGGAAGCGCGCACGCCGCCAGCCCGCGTAACGCTGACACCGTGGCCCAGAACGCAAAATTAATGAACACTGTTATATAAATATTTGCATATGCATATATATGTAGTGGGTGCGTGTGCGTGTGTCGTGTGTGTAGAGCGGTGGTGCAGTGGTTAGCGTGCTGCTCTTCGAACCCGACCACCCGAGTTCGATTCCTGCTCACGGCCAATAATAGTGGTGAATATTTGAACCGGTTCTGGACCTCCCCTAGGTCGATTCAGGCTAAAATGAGTGCCTGGTGCAGTGTGTAAACATCGCCACTAAGGAGACAAAGGCGGCCGGGCATGGTGCTGGCTACAAACTCCCTCACGTGCTGTGCGGGCCTTCATAGGTGCTCGCTAACAGCACTTGCTCCTACAGCCTGTCAAGGCTATACAGGTGATCTTTGTCTTTATCTGCCGGGAGTCATTTGCCCACATCGTTACGGATATCTGGGTTTGAGTCCGAACAATGGATAACATCAGTGGCAAGTGGCGTCCGAAGGTGTTCTAGACCTCTCCTAGGTCAACTCCGTCTTAAAAAAAGATGTTTCTGGTATGAACCTCTTCCAAAACATCTGTCAAGAGCGGAAAGCACTTCTGCTAATCGTGGCGTGAGAAAGTAATTTATTTTACCTCTTCGTTACGTGATCTGATGTGTAGACATTTCACTGAGAAGACGGACAAGATACTTTTGCCACCTCATAAACAATGGGCCATCAGCCTCTCGTGGGCCCTCAGGGCCCGTGTTTTCCAGAAGCATTTCAGCAGGCAAAACTGTGAACTGGTTCCAACTTTCTGAGTCTCATCAGCATCGTTTGGACGTTTTCTGTTGCAATTGTGCACAGCCAGTTAGTGCATAACGAATGTGATTTACAGGTACACTATTTGGCTGTGTATTCTGCGGAAGAGCAATTGACCGCCCATTGGGAGGGTGTGAGTATGAATCACTGGCGTGGGTTCACTTAATCCATCATCCCTCCTGGGTCAATAAAATAATAGGCCTCAATGGTTCCCTGAGCTGGCAGCGTTGAGGCATAGGTTCGAATCTTGGTTCGAACCACCCGCGATCAAAATGAATTCCCACGAGTGGTGAGTTGAGGGTCTCAGCCTGTCATCCATCATTTTAAATTAGTTTTTTGTTATATAGTTTGGCAAAATTCCAGTTGTAAGAATTACACAGTATTGTATTGACTGCCATGCGATGAACAGTTCTCTGAAACAGAGTGTTGGAAAGTGCACCCACTTGTAGTCTACATGTGTGATGTCACGTTAAGACATTTCAGAAGTCGTTTTATGATAATTACTTCAGTGGGATCATTTCTAACATCGGGTGATGCACTGCTATGCAACAATCCACAAATGACACCTCTTCATATCTTACTGGTGACACCGATAGCACACTTGGAATGAAAATGGGAAAACTAAAAGTTTATAACAATATCAGTGAAATAATATGGGAAGTCAACAGTAGTTGTCCTTAAATGAGTCAGGCTCACCATCACAACCCCCACTGTCTCAGTTCTGTCAATATAAATTACCACGACCTAACACTGGTTTGAACGCTACCCATGATATTGACCTTGAAGAGACGATGACCTGAGCCAACTCCTAACTGTTACTTGAACTCACAATCATTTCACTGTGAGCTGAGTGCTTTCAGCACACTACCACGTGGCCATATATATACGTCAATAATGATGTATCATCATCATAATTATGTTGATGTATCGTGGCTCTCTATCACACGTTGTCGCAAGGCAGCTCCCTCCGCAAATCCAAACCTTCAACGTTCCCTCGGCCCAGTTCAACTTCACGCTGTCAAGTTTCAACGTCAAATTGCCCAACTCATCTTCTTGGTTCTTTCGGTAAAGTCACGTAGAATGGAAATAATAAAATAATAAAAATAAAACATAATAAAATAATTCTCACAAAAATATGGAACGCTTCACGAATTTGCGTGTCATCATTGCGCAGGGGCCACGCAAATTCGTCAAGCGTTCCATATTTTTGTGAGAATTATTTTATTATGTTTAATTTTTATTATTTTATTATTTCCATTCTACGTGACTTTACCGAAATAACCAAGAAGATGAATCCCTGCAGTCACGAAAGCTTTAAATCGAAATTTAACTGCCCAACTCATGTTTCGCTGTCCCTCCACTTGTAAAATTAACTACTCAATTTTTTAGTCCGTATATGGCAATTTATTCATCAAAACATTTCCACTGTTAGTGCCAATCTATGAGCGGTGGGTGCACAGCTCGATTTTTTTCTTCTTTTAAACACATGAATCACCCAGTGCTAGCACTCACAACAGCTTTCTACGTACCGTGTCCAGCAAGCCACGGTGGTTTCGATTTGGCAGCGTTGGTGGGGCATTCCTGAATTGCTCGCAAGCCCTTTGCAAATATGAACTGTTTGTTGACAGGTAACAAGGCGCCCAACATGTGCACATCAACACTCACAGTGTGCTATGGCGGGGGGGGGGGGTCACAGGTAATGCACATAATGTCTCCGCGGCTGTCCGCACTCAAGTCGGATGACAGGGAGGTGAGCGAGTATGGCATACGCAACACGCGCATACATTCAGCCAACTACGCTAGCCTTCGATTAGTTCGGTTGGCTGGGTAAGGTGCGAAAGAAGTTCGACATACATACAATGTCCCACGGTGGTCTCAACCAGAAGTCGGTGCAGTCAACTTCAAATGACTTTTTTTTTATTGACTAAAGAAACCACTGTGGATGAGTAGAGGGGTCACATGTAGCGTTGAGAGATGGGTGTTTGAGACAGAATTCACGTCTATTAGTTTACAGTGAGAAAGCCAGACTTTAACGAAGCTTTTGGAGGATATCGTGGCAACTGCGTGGCAGGGTAGGGTAAAACATATGTTTGAAGTTCAGAGAGGAAAGTGGCAAGGAAGTGTTGCAGATATAATCAGGAAGTGGAGGTTTAGTTTGGTGGAGGGGGTCACGTGTTCAGGATGGTGGAGGGCATGTGACCGAGGCAGGCCATTTGAGTGGAACCCACAGGTCGGTGACCAATGAAAAGACCGAAAGAACAGAGAGTGAGATGCTGGTAAAGTAGCCTTGGGAAGATGTTCATCAGCAGTGCAACAGCTGCTGGATCTAGCAGAAGGAAGGACGCGATGGTAAGGTGTAATGCTATCCATGGTATAGGTCACGATGAACTATTGACCTTCACCACAAGTTTCATTCACTGATTCATGTGGATGCCTCACTGGCAGTAAAGGAATCAACGTTATATAATGAGGAGAGAGGGAAGAGTGAATTGATGTATTCAATAAATGCAGGATTTGTGTCACTCAATTACTCATTAGCAGAGAAAAAGTGCAACTCAATCAAGTGCTCAACATTGTTGTGAATGCAACTTTACATTGAGAGACCAGACAGAAAATTGAACGTATGGCTCAGGACACAGATACACATCATAGACATCACATTGAGAATCAAGACAAGGCAATATCTGCTTACATTTCCCATACTTTGGACTCCTATCGTGTTTTGTTTGTATTGTTTGCTGTTGTAACGTTCTTACCTGACCCTATCGGATTCCTCCAGTATGACTAAATATTCAGATCATGATTCTGACATCACGAATGGCCGATGGACAAGACACATTCAAGAGGAAGCCCAACGCAAAGATGGGGCGAAGAGATATTTCCATGTGCAGGGGTGGGATGGATGGTTGCAGCAATGGACTTTGAGGGGTGGCTATGGCACGGGGAGGCCTTCATCGAGCACTAGGTAGACAATGCCTGGTGGCCATGACGATGATGAACGTTAACGCGTGTATAGCCACGTGTGAATGGCACTCAGTGTCAGCGATATTAAAACTCATTTGTACAAGGCGACTGTAGGAATTCCAATGGAGGGACCGGGACCTGACATGGAATTCGTGGTATTTCCACCACTGGCATCAGACACACATTATGAAACACAGTATCACGAGGGTTGCTTGAAAACGAATGCCTCCTATGTATTTTTGTTCTTACAATGTGTATTAAACGTCCCGTGGTACGGACACGAAATGCAGGCGCACTGCAACAGCAGAGCGATGGTTCACGATGACTGCTAGCATACGGATCAGGGCACAGCCATCGAATTCGTTTGCGGGCGAAGTGGTAAGGCACTGATTGAATTACGCGACTGAACATGTTTTTTGTTTGTTTTACACGGCAAAACCATGCTCCAATATTACTATGCTGAGATGCGGTGGCGCCGGAATAATGAGCGTGGACAATGAGATTAAGGAGGTAATTGAAATGCAGTCTGAGCTCAACGGCGTTTTGCAAGCACACGAGTATGTGTGCACGGCATTCATACAACGGCGAGTGTCTCAGAAGTGATGCACGCATTCCTGCCTTATTACACAAACGGGCAGCGCGCGTCGCTTTCCAGCCCAAGAGCAACACAGGCACGACCTCCCTTAAAACACTAGGGGGTGGCGGAGCACTGACTGGCTGCTGCTGCTGCTGCTATGCGCCAAACCTCCAATGCACCCCGGGGGTGTTCTGGCACAGCCAGCAAGGGAGGGGATACGAAGGGAGCCAAGGGGAAGGGATTGGCAGGAGGGAATGGGGAGGGCGCGCTGTCGGTGCCAACACGTGTCGGCAATTTCTGTGCGCAAGGGGTCAGTAGCAGCAGCTTCTTGTAGGTCTCATGGTAGCCTGATGTCGGCCCCGGCCAAAAAGGAAAGTCTGGTGTCTCCATCCACACAATGAGTATGGGGCAATGGCCATCTCCGTCGTTGGCCCTGGGAGATGTGCGGTGGTGTAAATTCCACGTTAGTGTGGCAGAGGCGAGTTTATTCTTTGGACGACCGGCGTTGACTTTCCACAAAGTGGCCCATAACCAGAGGCTTTGAACTTGGGACCTTCCGATGAGAAGTTGTGGGGTTTTACTACCGTGCCCCTTGGACTGATGCATATAAAATGGCCAGCTAAGAAATTTCCCACGAAAATCAGGGAATAGATTAAATAAAATGATTATAGAGGCATATTGAATGAAAGCAACAACATCCTTCGGAGAATAAAAATCGTAAATGAATTAAAACTATCACATTATTACGTTTAAAAATATAAATGTGCATGTGTTATGAAATAAACGAAAAGAACACATTCATAATTATAATATTCTGCCAATCTGTCAAATTGGCTTTCTTCAAATCAAGTTTGGCTTCTTTATTTTCAGCAAATGCCCGAAAATAGAATTTGCACCGACGCGAGAATTACACCACATGTGACACCAAGTTCAAATCTTTTTCTTCTTCGTATGGCTGGGGAAGCAGGTGCAGTTTGATGTCGAGGTTAGCGATCCATTTAGCAGCTTCAGACGAGGCAGAGTGAGTGGTGACGATGCCACGGGGAACCGATCTCTCATGGCAGGAGTTGAGCACGTGGATGATTGACCCATTTCCCTGGCCCTGTTCTCGAGCGGTCGAGGGTTGTCCTGGCTTCCCGTGGAAGGTGGCACCCTGTTGACTAACATGGGATGCTGCGCTGCTCACCTCTGTTGACTTTCCAAAGCAATCGGTGGAAATTTCACTTGTCCAATAAGGTGGCCAGTTTGTCCGTGAGTCCTTGGCCTGAGACGATACAAGGCGCGGTGGTACAAAGCATGGTGAATGTTCAGTCAAAAGCACAACGATTCTGAGAAATCGCCAACATTCATAGCAACCTATTAGTGCTGACATCGTATATGCATGTGCCTATAAAAAGGCACGCACAACAAGTCAAATGCAACTATTGTCACAGAAATGCAACTAGAAACCACTAAAGAATATGTACACCTCGGGACATTGTTAAAGGCATACCGGAATACAAAACGATTGGAATGCAAATACAAATAAAAGTAGAATGGAGTGCTTTTGGAAAACCTGATAGTGAAATACCATCATGCTAAAAGACGAAAGATATCAATCAGTGCATATAACCCTCTATGGTTTATGGGTCAGAACCAGGCACACTGAAACATGGCGAAAGGCAAGACTGGTGACACAATGCGTGCAGCCTCAGGAAGATGTGCAAGCCTCGGAGCACGACCACAGCAGAGATGGGGCGATGTGTGTGCAGCAGTGAGACGGGTTGCGGCATGGCGAGACGCTGCTGCACGGCGGAGATGTGTTGAGGCCTTCATCCAGCAGCGGACTGTTCAAGCCTGATTGTGATGCTGTGGATCGCGTGAGAATGGAAGGCACGAGTTGTCCGTGCAAACATCAGGGACACATTTCGATTTAAAGGCTTTCGTAACTGCAGGGATTCATCTTCTTGGTTCTTTCGGTAAAGTCACGTAGAATGGAAATAATAAAATAATAAAATAAAACATAATAAAATAATTCTCACGACGTTTCGGCCACAACGCAAGCAGCCGTCCTCAGGTGAAGACCAGGTCTGTCGGGGAGACACCTGAGGACGACTGCGTGCGTTGTGGCCGAAACATCGTGAGAATTATTTTATTATGTTTTATTTTATTATTTTATTATTTCCATTCTACGTGACTTTACCGAAAGAACCAAGACGATCAGGGACACACACACACGCACTCTGGTTGAAACGCAGAACTCATCGGACGTTGGTCCCAGCGGCTTCCGTTTAATTTCCGCAGCTAAAGAATCAATGAATGGTGCGGACATCGAATGTCATGTGACAATGAAGCATCCTGGGCTGTGAATGGGTTCTCCTGGGCGGGGAGTAAAGCCTCGAAACGTCGGCCGAGCAAGCACTTTGCACTTCAAGGAGACCACGTAGACAACAACCCCACGCAGATTCTACACTTTTGGCGTCATCTGGTCCAACCCATGTGAGACTAGGCTCTAAGGAAAGCTGTCTCGGGTGTGGACCAATCAACTTCAAGGACAGTGCACATTATCAAAGTTATGTCTTTTGTTTGTATTACGACTGCAGGTATTGCGGTCTATGCAAACATGACTCCTTGTAAAAAGGTGCCAAATCCCACGCAGATTCGCAATAGTCATGTTTTTGTTCGTGTTTTTAGTTCCGCACGATGCCCGACGTTTCGCTCCACGTGCTGGCAGCTTCTAAAGGAAATTAATTAACAAGCTTGCGTTCTCCCTCGATGCTGCAGCACAGCGGGTTGCCGCTGGTGTCTGCTGTAGGTCTGCCGAAGTTTCCTACCAGACCGAGCAAATAAACTCCCAGCAGCAGCAGCAGGCAACGCTATACAGGGTGGCCCAAAAGTTAGGACACATCGGGTTATTACAGTTATTTTAACAAATCACATAGGCTGATTTAATACATTTCAACAAACGTTAAAACTCACTTCCTATTAATATTAATGCAGACATTCATTCTCTTTTGAAATTAATTTAGGACTTTTTGTAAATGTAAGATCACGCGTGTAATATTTAGAACATTCGTCAATTTATACTCTTAGATTTTTTTCGGTAAAGTCACGTAGGTAAATAAATACATAATAAAATAATAATATAAATAATAATATACATAAATAATAAATCACGACGATACAGTAAATATAGCTGTGACGGTCCCACCTGATGACGGAGACTTGTGTTGCCTCCGAAACGTCGTGAATTATAATTTATTTCTATTATTATTTATACTAGTAATATGATGTATTTATTATTTATTTATTCACCTTCTTGACTTCACCTGAAAAACCTAAGAGTATGAATCCTTGCAGTCACGAAAGCTTCAAATCTAGAATTCGTCAATTTAGTTTCGTCTCAATTCGTTCACAGGATTCTTGGTCAAGTTTTGGAAACGACGAATTTGAGGTGCCCCCACGTGAAAAATAGACGTCAATAATTCCTCGTAGATAACACTAAATATGAACTTATAAAAGTAAACAATGTCCGAATTTCAGTGTTAAAATAAATTAAATAGCCCTCCGTGTCCTGACTTTGGGCCACCCTGTATAATGGCCGGTGCACCGTGGGAGAGCGTGAAATGCCTCTATTCACGGCCTAAAGAATCTTCCCAGCACAGCCGTGGAAACCCACGCATGTCGTGTTCATTATAGTCGGCCATTCGTTGTCATGCCTTTTCAATCACCATTCATATAGACAGTATATATATTGTACACTGCACACAGCATATATACGCATACGCACTTACTCTTGCATTGCGTCTACACTGCCGCAGTGCAATAGGGTTGGTAATCCAGGCTTATGAGAGCTGCACTCCCTGTGCCAAGGCAGAGTTCGCATCCAAGTAAGTCGAAGGTTCACCGCCTTGTAACTGAATCCTTTCCCTGGTGCTGGGTTTCCAGCACAGTGGGAACAGTGAGGCCTCTGCGCAGTTGGCTTGAAGGTGCTCGAGATCCCACGGTACTCTTCAAGAGCGAGCCTCTGTGCATTGGTGTGACAGCCAAATAACCCACCACAATCAAAGCCATATTCCCTCCTACTCATTTATCAAAATCAGACAGAATTCGAATTGTCTCCATGCTCAAGCGAGCAATGGGGCATGGTACATCTGTCGGTGGCCCATAGCCAGTGGTTTGAATTTCACATTCACGTGGCAGGGCCCGTCTCTCCGTGGGGTAACAGCACATTCGAGTATTTTGTCTTGCATACGCAGAAATGTGCACTCTGTAACGACAGGTGGCACTATGGTTGGAGTGCTTGATGCGCATTCATAAAGCTGCGAGTTGAAAGCCATCATCCCCTTCAGGGTTCATCCAATGAGTCCCACTATTGTGGAAATTGCACGGTTTCCATCCTATGAAGGAGCTGGCTTCTGCCGTAGATGTGTGGAAGTTCCACCTTGGAGGTGGACACCACCTCTCATTCATCTTTGCATGGTGCCACTTTCAATTGGCTTTGTATATGCGCACCCTACCTCTTGACCCTGTGACCACATCACATGGAATGCGCTCAAACCCATCAGACCCCGAAAGACTCAGCATGTTTCGGTCTGGACAGAGCTTGGATGAGAGACCACGGTGCACAACGACCCGACGTGGCGTGGACGTTGTGGGGAGCAGAATCTACTGATTCTCTGTACTGACCAGCGTGGTGAAGTATGGTCAAAGGACCTTCACGGCCGACACGACTGTGAGGAGGCCCTCATCCAGCATTGGATTGACAAATGGGCTGTACGTATACATCCACGCTCTGTTAATCAACATTTAACCTCGATTGTCACGCTTTGCCAAGAAATTATTGCAGTAAAAAAATCATAATAAACTGGCTTCCCATGTTAAAATGGACTCTTACAAATGACCCGCTAAGTGCAATCAGTGTGGCATTAATATTTAATTAATCACCTGTTCACTCGCAGAGAGAGGGATGGGAGGAGGATGGCTTTTGGGGTTGAAACGTGTGAATGGCTCCAGGCCTTTCGTGATTCACAATTGGAGAGACTCCAATGCATTGACATTGCACAGTTGGGCAAGCGAACGATGTGCCCATTGTGCAAATGAAGTAATCACCGTACCCTAAGAACAAAATAGCCTCCGTGAGGCTGTTGGAGTTGCGGTCCAGGAGTCCCCTGGGTCGATATTCCCGGTGCGACATTTAAATCAAACAACACGATTCTTAAACCCCGCTTGTGTGGGTAATTCAGCCTCATCCAGATTGAAAACTCAGCCTGGATAGAAAACGCATTTCTTTCGAACTGCTGTTTGCGTTTAGTTTGTTGTCCTTCCCCCCGCATCTCCGATTAGCACGGTTGACTATCTACTGGTACAAAAGAAGTTCAACATACATGGCATCTGGCCAGCGTGGAAGAGTAGGCCCACTACCCCCCAGAGCGGCTTTCTAGAGCTCCCTCTAGTGGAGGGCCCTTCCGCCATCAGTGGCGTGAGCAAGACATTTCAGGCCTGTGCTTTACACGACTGCATGTCGGAGGAGACGAGCATTACCACAACAAAGAATCGACGAAAGGGAAATAACACTCCGATATCTAAACCGGCCCTGGGCATCCACCCGCTTCACCGACCCGCACCGATCAAGCCTGGCGAAGTTATGGTCAAATCAACCTCCTGCAAACCAATGCGTGGCGCGGGCAGGCGGCTGTCACCCAGACCGAAAAGACGGCTGTAACATGTACGTTGAGCGTGCGGCACGTTGTCCCTCTTCCACGAGCCTGGATACATACACCCACGCAACTAATGTTGGACAAACGTCGCGATGCTGAAAACAGTACCTGCAAATTGCTCATTTCGGATCGCACGCAGCAGCAACGTCGCATCCCCTACTGCGGAAACTTGGCAGGACCCTCCTGAAAAGAGAGTCATGAGACTCGGTGATTGCTTTCCTTTATCAAACAGGCGAATTGACAGCGATTATAACACGCTCAACTCCACCGTGCAATTAGATCAGCAACCTACATGCTGCAACTGCCTCCGACCCTAACCGTACACCTCCCATTGGCACAGGTTGGCTACGTACGGTGCGAAAGAACTTCGACATAGACACATCATATTCACCCAGTGCTCGCCGAGTTGCATTGGCTTCCAGTTGCCAAACGAATACATTATGAGGTCAGTTTAACACGTAGCAGGCTTTCGCGACCAATGTTATTCATAATCAACGTTTTTGGGTTTAGATCGCGCTATTTATAAATGTGTCGTAACCCTCCACCACCCGACACGGCCAATCAATTGTAAATGTTGTGGCTTCAACACACCGGTGGGCTAAAGCAGTGAACTATTTGTCTTTTGTCAACGTGACACTTTTTTTACTGATTGGCCGTGTCGGGTGGTGGAGGGTTACGACACATTTATAAATAACGCGATCTAAACCCAAAAACGTTGATTATGAATTATGAGGTCACACTCGTTCCACGTGAAGTGCGTGCCACAAATTAACCACAATCCCTTGCTGATCTCGTCAAAGAGCATAAACCATCACGTGATCTCCCGTCATCCTAGCAGCGGCTTTTGGCGAGCCGTCGATCAAAAACGACCACCACGGAACGCACTTTCAGATGCTCATCTGGAATGCTCTTCCTTTCGATATTCGGATGCCACTGGAGTTATGCACTTATAAATCTCGGTTGAAAAACGATTTTCTTTAGAACTGCTTCTTGCGTTTAGTTTGTTGACCTTCCCTCCCACCTCCGATTACCAAGTTTGGCTTACGTACAGTGCAAAAGAAGTTCAACATACGTACATAAAACATCACTGCTCTATGCAATTATCTGTTACGAACAGAAACAAAATCTCTCACGAAAACAAACCATACCGTTTTCTGCATTACAGGAATGTGCCACCACATTTGGCAATCTACCAGTTTCATATTATTATTTTTAAAACATGGGCAGGCTTACATAAGCGATGTTTTGGACGCTGTATGTGCAAACAAATGAGCTAGATTCGTATTTGATAACATCCTGACACCAACCGCTCTGGGAGATTATAGAGGTGAACTTTAGTGTTAAGAATTAAGAGTTTGAGGTAAGAGCGACATCACTCTTGCCGTATAGCCCTGAGGACTGGACTTTAACAAACATTCGCTGGAAAATACATTTCTGGACTTTGAATACAGGTGCAAGTGGATATGCTGTGAATTAATGGTTGAAGAACACAATCAGTGTGAAAGATTAGAACATTGTAGAATAGATAAAGGTACAGCCCTGCAATTGCTTCCTCACACAACTGCTGGTAAAAGGGCTTCCACTAGCAGTAGCGGTTGAGAGCCGCTCTGAAGGGTTGGTCTACTCTTCCACACTTGCCATAAATCTTCGCAGAGGCGTGAGAACTCACACTTTACGCAATCAAGCTTGACCTGCCCATCAACAAACTGTGGCACACCCATTCATATTGCTGGGGTGGACAGAGGCGATGGGATTTAAACATAAAAAAAAACTTGCCAAATGCTTCCATAGCCACGTGGGAAGATTGAACCGGTGACCATTATGCCCTAGCAGTGTCCCATCATCGTAGACGCAATCGGAAGACAGGGGTTGTCATGGGTAAGAGCCGTCTACAAGATGGAGTGGGGGTCACCGGGACGGGCGGATGATTGCCAACTCACACGTTGGTGAGATAGTGGATCTCAGGTTTCAGCTGTAAAAACACGTTTCAGGATCTGGCAGAAGGAAGGGAGTGATAGCGAAGTGCGCAATGGAATCGTTGACATTGGGTCTGTTGCTCTTGTTGATCCGTGGGGCAGGGTGAACCCTCGCCTGCACATCAGCACAAACCTGTAGTCTGCTGTGCTCAGCTATGCAATGTGAAAAAAAAATGGGTGAAACATGGGAACTTTCACAAAACTATTACACTCAAACGGAAAGTGGAACGCCAACCAAAATAATGTCAGTTGGCGTACCACTTCCTTAATTATGTTTCACATCAACAAAACCTTTGAAACATCTATGATGTTGTTTTCAGGATAATTTTTTAAGAAATAGCCTGAAGTGTGAGAGTGTTCCAAAATAGTATGATACATCTTCTTTAGTGAACACAGCCAGCCGCTGGAACATTCGCCTTGACCATGAAAAGTCCAAGTGCTGGACTGGAATTTTTTTGGGTTTGGCAATATTCCTTTAGTTCTGCTTTTCTTCCTCCGGGTGCCGACCACAGGTGGATTGATAAACATCCATATAAACGCTTGGAAAAATTAAAGACCGACTACTTATGTACATGATTAGTGTTCTGGCTCCATTCTCCGCATACCCCTGTACACATTGCAGAACAACTTCACTTATGTCTATATAAAGGCAATCAGATGCCCTTTCCATGTTACACATCTTCTCTGCCTGCTGTCAACGCTTTACTAACATAGCCTCAACATTTCCTTGCTCGGCGCAAATGATTTACATGCTGCAGTTCGCATGAGCGTTATTGAAAAGTAAACATTTCATTGTATACAATTTCTAGTGTTCACGTGACAGCAATGCAATGTTTCACCCCATTGTTTCGTAAATGCCGTTAACACAAGTTCCAAAGCATTCAAATACATTGCAAAGAAAGCCGAACGAATGCTGAAAAAAATTGTCCAAAAAATCACGAAGACACGCGTGCGCAGAACTACGCTGAGTTGACGGAGTGACGAAGGAGCGAGATGGATTCTGGGCATTGCAGCGCTGTGCGTGGGGTGGAGGAGGGAGGGGGGGGGGCGACTTTCATCTAGCAGTGGCTCGACCATGGCTGATGATCGTGATGATAAGAATGATTATTAAATAAATCGATACAGTTTGTCGACTTGTGCATGAACACACAGGACACGCGGACACACACTTAACGCAGTCGTCAAAACGATTGAAACGAATTTATACACAACAACATCATATTACACGGAACCAGGGGCGGTTTCTTCATTAGGGCGATTGGGCGACGCACCACCAATGTCATTCAACCACAGAGTCACGCTAGCCGTCACTGCAGCCTCTGGATATAGTCCAATCAGCGTCATGTCACGTTCTGTGGAGTACCGCCTCTTTTTGGGCGATTTCACTACGGCTGAGAATCGCCCCGAGTGGCCCCATAGACTTACATTCAAAGATGTTTTTTTTCGACCGGGGGGCGCTAGCAATGCATTCTCTATGGCTTCCGGGAGGGCTCGCCCTAACGTGCTTACGTCATCATACGTGCTTACGTCATCATACGTAAGCACGTTTCATCCAACAACGTAATTTATCGCCACCTACTGGAATCTTTAATAAAAGAAACTTGAGTGGATTGTATTAATAGTGAGTATAGAAACAAACAAGATGTATTGTAAGAGTCACTTTATTTTTCATTAATATTAAAGAAGTGAAGTTGCCTTTACATGCTCAAGCTGTTAATTTATCCATTGCATGGGTGGACCTTATCCTTATCAATCATCCAGACATTTGCCCCCCCTGAGAGATTTTGCAGGAGCCGCCACTGCACGGAACACACACTTAACCATACTATTGCATTGAAAAGTGCACCCATGAAGATATTCCTGTGAATTTATTTTCTCCAGTAGCAGGAACGCGGAATTTCAATTGCCGTCTCAGAGTAGAGAGCCAACATTGACTTTTCGAATATTAGTCTTACAAAATAGGTCCTATTTACTGTTTATAATTTTCTGCTGAAATATATTGTACTGTAATTTGTTTTCATTCACGAAGCCTACGACAAATGAAGCAACATATGAACTTCATATAATTGACCATTAACCCTGCATGGCGTTTACAATTTGTTGCAGATTTTCGCGGTTCGAGCCTGGTGGTTGCCCTGGTTAATGCCAAAATATGTGCGACACTCGTGCTACAAGGCGAACCATTCAGATCCCGCGGTGCTGTTCGAAACGAGTAGGCCACGCGTATTAGCGTCACGGTCCAAATTTACCAAATTCTAACATGGCCCACAAATTATATAATTATCTAATTGGGTAAAACCACGTGGCAACTTCGCTCCCTGCTAGCAGACTGTATCCATCCGAGCAACATTGCACTTTCGTGATAGCTTGGCACTATAAGAATTAAGAATGATGTTGATGCCAATTGTATGTAATCATCCTTGTTCGTACATTGTGTGTGGTGTCAATCACACAAAATGCAATAGAGTGAATCACAGATGTGTATAGGTTGATGTTAGTATTTTACATTAAATGTGTGCAATGTTTGTTCGCAAGAACATCTACGTGAAGCCAGGATTATAGCACATAACGTAATCGCATTATACAACATTAACATGAACAGGGGTAATTGAAATGTTGGCAGTTGTGCCGTTACCGCTGATATTGAATAGAAAACTGGCCAATGTGCCACTCTTCTCTGCTGATTTGGAACCGTGTACTCTAGGGGTGATTCACTTTGCACGTGTGCCCAGTATTCTGAGCGTGGCGAGTGTTCAAAGAGAAGTCAAATCAGAAGATCTCATTCTAGATTTGAAGTTTTCGTGACTGCAAGGATCCATACTCTTTGGTTCTTTCGGTAAAGCTACGTTGGTGAACATCTCCTTCTGCAAACAAGGAACAGTTTGTCATCCTTCCCAAGCACCTTCCATTTGCACGGTTGGCTATGCACAGTGCAAAATAAGTTCAACATGCATATATTCATAAACCTAAGCCAGTGGTGAAATTCCACAATCGCATGACAGGTCTGAACTTTCCATGCGACAACTTCAAATTCACTTTCGACAAAGTGGTGCACATTGTATCTCGAGCAAAAGGATGATAATTCACGTCAACTCACGAGCGAAATTTAAACCCGCAACATTTCGATTTCAAGGCAAGCGTTCTTTAGCATACACAGTGGCGTTAGATTATAGCAAATGCACAGTTTAAATGTACATTACTGCGTGTT